TCATGATTTTTTCTCTGGAGAACCTGTGTTTGATAAATAAATATAATTAGGTCATTATACATATACAACGTTTATTCCATTTATCAAAAAAATCCATATGTGCACGATATACATATATTTCGAAAGTTTCCCGAGAAAGAAAACAATTTTCTACGCGTGCACGACAAATCTCAAAACTATTTTTGTTCAAAAATACAGTTTCATCATGATTTCCGCCTACAATTCAGATAAAAGCAGGCACTGAAATATTAATGTATTTGATGTTCTATGTGTGTTAAAATGTGCATTTTTCATACCGACTATATATGCAACGATCGTTTTTATATAATTATGAATTAAAACTGATATTGTATGATTAATTCGACAAGCAATTTTAACGTAAGAACAATTTTTATAATCTCTCCTTCTGATAAAAGAGATTATAATTATTGCTGGCTAATCATAAGACATTCAAATTTATAAACTGGCCCGGCTGCTGCGAAGTAACTCTCATGAAAACACACACATATATATAAACAGTATTTAATGTTTATTTGGGAATACGTCCCGATAAGACATATATTAAATTTATACACAGTACAGACCAGTAAAGTTCGTATTAGTAAAGTCAAAGGCGATTATACATACACGCTTTAAACGTCGTTCCGTTAAAAAGAAACGAGATTAATAGGAATTACAAAATAAAATTCTTGTCACGATTATCTTTTAACAATAAGTATCTGTGCACATTTCTGATTCAAAACAGCAAAATCTAAACACATTTTAATAAAATCTTCAAGTAAAGAGGAGTAACAAGGAAAATCTAGAGTTATACGAGTTATACGAACAAAAATCAGCAGGTACGTACAAATACGACACAGATTAATAAGAATCCTGTGAGAAAAGATAAATTATGTGAAATTATTTGTATTGCATATATTTTTTGCTATATTTAATATATATTGTAAATTTTAAAAACTTTTCCACAATTTTGATTAAAACAATAAAGTAAAAAGTACACTTTGTCTTAATTTTATCAAGAAAATAATACATATAATGCGACAATATTCTGTTTAATATTTTATAATCTTTGAAAATTGACAATAATCAAATATCGCTGAATAATTTGTTAAATAAAAATAGTAAATAGTTGATCAAGGAATAACCGTAAATTTTTCAAAAATAATTTAAAAATTATATAGAAAAATATAAACAAACAAATAGGTCGAACACATTTTTATATCTTCGAGGTTTTAATTGTTTTGAAGTATATCTTGCATTGTCATGTGTTAGTGACATAAATATATATATAAAGAATTTCTAGTGATATAAAAATCAGTAATTATAATATATTAGTGTATTAAAATTCACAAGATTAAGAATTTGATTTTCTCTACGCCTGTATTTGTTTGTTCATAAATGAGTCTTTTAATAGATATATAATTTCAAATAATAAAGTACATGAGTAAAGATACATGATTATAAACGGTTTTTCGTCATTTTTTGCTTTTTGTTTATTTTTTATAATAAATAAATATTAGTTCTATTTCTTTTCTTTATAAATACAACAATTAAAAATTTCTTTTATTTCAAAAAGAGACTCAGATCGATAAACTGAAATTTTTATATTTAGAACGAAAATATTTTACATAATACATAATGTTTTCCATTAATTTTATGGTTATTTATTATATTGTAAATAATACATTAAAAGATGCTGGTAGATAAAAACGTTATTCGACCACATTATTCAACAAAAGAAAAATTCCTTTAAGAATTTTAACTTTAGTATTTAGAGAAAGTAGAACATATGTGTAGTTTACTACTTAAATACTTATTATAAATTATTAAAATTATGTTTTTTAAATTCTCAAACATGACTAGTTTGACGATTTATTTGTTTTTCTGTCCCGTTTTTAACTACATTAATATAAATATGTATTTCTAAATTAATCAAATTATTTAGTATTTTTATATGTTAACAGGCCATTACTAAGCTAACGTTCAAATGTTATTTGATATTGATTCATCACTAATTTCTACGTGATAACAATTATATTGTAAATTGGTCTTTTATTAATTTAACTAATTTTTACTTATAACATTCATCTGTGTCTGTTCTGATAACAAATGATTTTTGTATCATTATTTTTGTATCTTTTTTTTTCTACTAATATATGAATCATAATTTTTAACTCAGCAATTGATATATAGAATCAAAAAGTTACTTTTATATTTATATCATTTGGCATTATTAAAATTCCTTCTTCTCGATTACAATTATTTAATATTATTAATTATTTTGGCATTTTAATAGTCTCTTTTTTATAAGAAATAATGAAAAAGCAGGTGCGAGGTACCGTTTTCAAAAATTTACTTAGCATCAAATTTTATATTCATTTCATCAAAACATTTTTTTTTTCCTAATAGATAAGAAATACATTTTTCTACAATATAATTGTTTTTATAAAACATAAACACCTATATTTTTGAAAATTATTTCTATGTGTTATACGTTTAAGCTTTGCATTAAAAAGATTGTTCAATAATACACATATATAGTTATATCTTACTTTTTAATTTTAGATTTCAGGTTAACCACGATTAAACAACTGACCATAACTGCGCTAGTGTTGCAATATACTCGCCGAAATACACAGTAATCAAATAAATTTATAAATACTATTCTCAAAATAAATTTGTTTGTAAAAAAGAAAGTCACAAGCAGGACGAAGATATGCAAGACAGAAGTGCCGATCCCTCCAGACAAATGGATTCCGATCCAACTGGACAGCCGGAAACGTATGAATGCCATCTCTGTTTACAGACATTCACTTCTGAGATCTACTATTCCGATCATTTAAAGTTACACGACACCGGATATAATTATCCTTGCTGCCATTGCAACTTAAAATTCATTTCTGAGTCGGATAAGCATCAACATGTGGAAAAGTATCACAAGAATGTTTGTTTCAAGTGTAATAAATGCGACATAGTTTTGTGGATTCAAACTTTTTGAAAACCACAAAAAAATATGTCATTATGATGACAAGAAAGCTTCTAAACCGAAACACGATTGCGGGTCGGAGGGTAAGAGAAAGAGGCACGAATGGGACAACTCTGACGCGGACTCGGAAGGTTTGTCTCAGCAACTTTAATTTTCTGTGTAAAATTAGCTACAAAATGAGTGGTTTTTGTAATATATACATTATTATATATTCTTGTTCTAATAATATGCAAATGACGAAAGATTTAATTACAACGACAATTCTTTAAATAATTGAACAGCGCAGCGATTATAGGAAGAGAACATGATTTGATTATAAAACATAAAACCGCTAGACATGTATTAGCATTGTAGAAAATTGACATGTTAGACAATACTAAAAATATGTATTCATTATTTTATATTAGTGCTAATTTATTTTTACTTTTACTTGTGTGTAGTTCTCTTGTATTATAAAACTTCTCAAGAGAACAATAAAATCAAAATAATGTCAATTTTACGTCATATTTACTAAAAATGACTTTTTATACTGACTTTCTTATCTGTTTAAGTTTTAGAAAACGTGACATACGTTTCTCGATTGTGTAGATACAATGCTTATTATTATGAAGATAATTAAAGATTAACGTTTTTCATATTCAGATATCATTGTAGTTCGCAGAAAAGTTGAGTGATCGTACACAGAGAAAAAATGTTGTTGATTCAATTGAACGTCGACGTCACGGGCTGCCACAAGCATATGCAGTTATTTATCAGTATTTTGTTAATTCAATGACATAATTAATCAAATCGAGATGTCATGCTTTTGTTTATACTGCATATGTTTAAAAAAAATCATATTTGTGGCAGCCCGTGACGGCCACGTTCAATTGTATCAACAACATTTCTTTCTTAGTCTATTAAAAATTATATTGTTGACTAAAATATTATTTTAAGCAGCTCACTTCTTAAAGTTGTATCTCAATTTTTTTTAATACAAAATAATAATTTTTTTAGATGATAAGCAAGAGGAACGTCCCGGTTCTTCCAGACAAATGGCTTCCGGTTCAACTGGAGATAATATCTTTATTAGCACACCACATCCGAAAAACATTCAGAGATTATCCAGAGAATATCCAGAAAACATTCAATCATCCTCAGCATCTTCTCTGAGCGTCTTCGGGATACGTGCACTGTTACGGACGCCAGACGAAAATGTCGGTCCCTCCAGACAAATGGCTTCCAGTTCAACTGGAGATAATATGCAAAGCGAAAGTGTCGGCTCTTCTAGACAAAGGGATTCCGATCCAACTAAACAGCCGGACAAGTATGTATGCAATCTCTGGTTAAGACTATTCTGTTCTTTAAACGTGCTTCATAATCAGTTAAAGATCCACATGAATTATCCTTGCAACTACTGCGACCTATAATATTCATTTTTAAATCCCATTTCAATGCACATACGCGTTCGATACGTAATGTTAATCTTTTCAAGTGTGATATATGCAATTCAACTTTTTATGATCTCTTCGACTTTGAATGGCACAAAAAAAACACCATAGTGTAAGCAAAGAATCCGTAACAGCGGAGAAACTGAAGTACGAGTTGAAGCGTAAGCAAAGGAATCTCGAACGCGAATCCTTTAAAAGATGAAACAGGAGTTAAAGCGTGAAAGGGAGAAGCTTAGATCCGACATCTCTGACGCGGACTCGAAAGGTTTGTCTCGGCAACTTTAATTTTCTGTGTAAAATTGGCTACAAAATGAGTGGTTTTTGTAATATATACATTATTATATATTCTTGTTCTAATAATATGCAAATGATGAAAGATTTAATTACAACGTCAATTCTTTAAATAATTGAACAGCGCAGCGATTATAGGAAGAGAACATATTTTATTATAAAACATAAAACCGCTAGACATGTATTAGCATTGTAGAAAATTGACATTTGAGACAATATAAAAAATATCTTCATTTTTTTATATTAATGCTAAGTTTTCTTTACTTTTATTTGTGTGTAGTTCCTTTTCATTATAAAACTTTTCAAGAAGAACAATAAAGTCAAAATAATGTCAATTTTACGTCATATTTACTAAAAATGACTTTTTATACTGACTTTCTTATCTGTTTAAGTTTTAGAAAACGTGACATACGTTTCTCGATTGTGTAGATACAATGCTTATTATTATGAATATAATTAAAGATTAACGTTTTTCATATTCAGATATCATTGTAGTTCGCAGAAGAGTTGAGTGATCGTACACAGAGAAAAAATGTTGTTGATTCAATTGAACGTCGACGTCACGGGCTGCCACAAGCATATGCAGTTGATTTATCAGTATTTTGTTAATTCAATGACATAATTAATCAAATCGAGAGATCATGCTTTTGTTTATACTGCATATGTTTAAAAAAAATCATATTTGTGGCAGCCCGTGACGGCCACGTTCAATTGTATCAACAACATTTTTTTCTCAGTCTATTAAAAATATTATTGTTGACTAAAATATTTTTTTAAGCAGCTCACTTCTTAAAATTGTATCTTAATCATTTTTAATACAAAATAATAATTTTTTTAGATGATAAGCAAGAGGAACGTCCTGGTCCCTCCAGACAAATGGCTTCCGGTTCAACTGGAGATAATATTTTTATTAGCACACCACATCCGAAAAACATTCAGAGATTATCCAGAGAATATCCAGAAAACATTCAATCATCCTCAGCATCTTCTCTGAGCGTCTTCGGGATACGTGCACTGTTACGGACGCCAGACGAAGATGTCGGTCCCTCTAGACAAATGGCTTCCAGTTCAACTGGAGATAATATGCAAAGCGAAAGTGTCGGCTCTTCTAGACAAAGGGATTCCGATCCAACTGAACAGCCGGACAAGTATGTATGCAATCTCTGGTTAAGACTATTCTGTTCTTTGGACGTGCTTCATAATCATTTAAAGTCCACATGAATTATCCTTGCAACCATTGCGACCTATAATATTCATTTGTAAATCCCATTTCAATGCACATACGCGTTCGACACGTAATTTTAATCATTTCAAGTGTGATATATGCAATTCAACTTTTTATGATCTTTTCGACTTTGAATGGCACAAAAAAAAACACCATAGTGTAGGCAAAAAATCCGTAACAACGGAGGAACAGATGTACAATTTGAGCGTGAGCAAAGAAATCTCGAATTAAATCTATTAAAAAAGAGAGAGAAAAGTACTTGTTGAGTAATAAAAGGTTCGGAGGCGACAACTTTGACGCGGACTCAAAAGGTTTGTCTCCGCAACTTTAATTTTCTGTGTAAAATTAGCTACAAAATGAGTGGTTTTTGTAATATATACATTATTATATATTCTTGTTCTAATAATATGCAAATGACGAAACATTTAATTACAACGACATTCTTTAAATAATTGAACAGCGCAGCTATTATAAAAAAGAACGTGATTTTATTATTTTAATATAAAACGTGAAACCGCTAGACATGTATTAGCGTTGTAGAAAATTGACATTTTAGGTAATACTAAAAATATGTATTCATTCTTTTATATTAATGCTAAGTTTTTTTTACTTTTATTTGTGTGTAATTCCTTTGTGTTATAAAACTTCCCAAGAAGAACAAAAAGTCAAAATGACATCAATTTTATGTCATATTGACTATATTTATGTCATTTTTTTAGTCATAAAAATCTCGATCTCGAAAATACTAAAAAATGACTTTTTATACTGGCTTCCTTACCTGTTTAAATTTTAAAAATGTGACGTACGTTTTTCGACTGTGTAGATGCAATGCATATTATTATGAATATAATTTAAGGTTATCGTTTTTTATATTCAGATATTATTGTAGTTCACAGAAGAGTTGAGTAATTTTTTAAAATTAAATTGTTGATTAAAACATTACTTAAAGCAGCTCACTTCTTAAAGTTGCATCTCTATTATTTTTAATACAAAATAATAATTTTTTTAGATAATGAGCAAGAGAAAGGTGCCGATCCTCCAGACAAATGGATTCAGATTCAACTGGAGATAATATGCAAGCTGAAGGTGTCGATTCCTCCAGACAAATGGATTCCGATCTAACTGGACAACCGGACAAGTATGTATGCCATCTCAGGTTAAGACTATTCTGTTCTTTGGACGTGCTTTATAATCATTTAGAGGTCCACAAATTTAATCAGAGTTATCCTTGCTACAATTGCGATCTAACATTTATTTGTAAATCCCATTTTAGTGCACATACGCGTTCGTCGCACACTGTTAATCGATGGAAATGTGATTTTTGCACGAAATCTTTTGCGGATTTACGCTTGCTTTCACAGCACGAAGAGAAAGAGCATAAGAAAGAAAAGGAAATGCGAGACGGAGATGCCGGTCCTTCCAGACAGATGGATTCCGGTTCTAAATGATAATTGAAAGAGAAAAGGAACGTAACAATGTGATAATTGAAGGAGAAGAAAAACGTAACAATGTGATAATTAAAGGAAAAAGGAACGTAATAATGTGATAATTGAAGCAGAAGAGAACGTAACAATGTGATAATTGAAAAAGAAGAGGAACTCGATCCTGCCTGGCCGTGACGAAGACTTATCTCAACATCTTGATTTTATACTGGACTGCACACCAGATTGAGGAGAACAAAATTGAAGACGTTGAACCTATTGAACAATCCAAGGATAATCAGCAGCGCTATTACAGCTCCAGACAGGATATTTATGTAGCACAACAAGAAGGCGACGAATCTTTTGGATCTGTTTCGGGCCTCTTGCAATACTTCTCTTCATCCGATATAAATATGAAGATTTCGAACTTCTAATAAAGAATATTTCAAGTCTCTAATCTTAAAATTGACGCGCAAAAGCCGCAAGCATTGACAAGTAGAATCGAGTTGGTCGAAGGCGAAGAAGTTCAACAGCAAAGTATACATTGCTAAAGCATTTGCACAGCACCAATATGACAGGAAATTGAAATGTAAAATTGCGACACGGATTTCAGTAAGCTCGACCAATGGTACAATACAAATGTCAAAACGAAGAAAATATCGCCAAGATAAAACCGTTTAAATTTTGGTGCAACACAAATTTCCAACATGATAAAAATTTCGAAATTCACCTACTCGATTCTATCAAATCCAAGCCATATTTAAATGTAAAAGACCAGTTTGATTTGAAATGAATTCCGATTAATTTAAATCTTTAATAAGTAAAAATCAAAAATTATTCTTCTACTAATAATTTAATGTAATCGCATAATGCAACTTCAAAAATATATAGATGTAGATAGACAAACACAAACAATATATATATATATATATATATATATATATATATATATATATATATCGTTAATTATGAGATACATAAAGAAGATAATTTTAAATATAGAAACGTAAAATTATACAATAAAAATTTTGTCACATAGAAAATTTTGCTCGCTCATAAATCAACATTAATAACATTATTAACTTGTTTTCTCTGTTTTAGATAAAGATAATCTTTAATAACATTAAGTTATTATAATGTAATTATTATATTATTAATCATTATTTTGTTGTTGTATCAATAATTAATCTGTTAATTAGTAATTATTGATTTATAATTCATGCAATATTAATGATTATTGAAAATGAAATTACACTATCGTTTATGTATATAAAATAGGTATTATTAACAATTATATATCGTATTAATTAGACAATTGTACGTACAGATGCATGTGCAGACGTACACATACATACCCAGTTAGCCACAGTAATTAGTATGACATCATTTTGATGTCATAATAATTACTGTGGCTATCTGGGTATGTACAACGTACACATACGACATAATTATAATTATTACTTTCTGACAACCAATAATTAAACAATTTAATTATTAACATTATGAATTTAATAATTATAATTTACGAATATAATTCTCGCATAGAAGAAATTTTTAATTTATATTTCATATTATCCGTTAAACTTTAATTTTCTATGTAAAATTGGTTACTAAATGAGTGATTTTTGTAATATACATTATTATTTGGTTGTAATATTTTTGTTCTAATAATATGCAAATGACGGAAGATTTAATTACAACGACAATTCTTTCAATAATTGAACAGCGCAGCTATTATAAAAAAGAACGTGATTTTATTATTTTAATATAAAACATGAAACCGCTAGACATGTATTAGCGTTGTAGAAAATTGACATTTTAAATAATACTAAAATATGTATTCATTCTTTTATATTAATGCTAAGTTTTTTTTACTTTTATTTGTGTGTATTCCTTTGTATTATAAAAACTTCCCAAGAAGAACAGAAAAGTCAAAATGACATCAATTTTATGTCATATTGACTACATTTATGTAATTTTTTTAGTCATAAAAATCTCGATCTCGAAGATGACTAAAAATGACTTTTTATACTGGCTTCCTTACCTGTTTAAATTTTAGAAAATGTGACGTACGTTTTTCGACTGTGTAGATGCAATGCTTATTATTATGAAGATAATTAAAGATAATGTTTTTCATATTCACATATTATTGTAATTCGCAGAAGAGTTGAGTTATTGTATTAAAAATTAAATTGTTGACTAAAATGTTATTTTAATCGGCTCACTTCTTAAAGTTGCATCTCAATTATTTTTAATACAAACAAATAATTTTTTATATTGTGAACATCAAAATATCATCAAAATTTTATACAATTTGATGTCATTTTGACAACTAGAATTTGACAATATTTTGACATGAATTTGACATTTTGTTCTCTTTCGGGTTACCATGACATGCGATATTTCAGTGCGCAAATTATGTTTTTATTCATTAATAAATATTGAAATAATAATTATAGTTATTAAAAATATGTATCAATAACAAATTTCGATATTTCAGTGCGCAAATTATGTCTTTATTCATTAATAGATAATAAAATAATAATTATAGTTACTAAATATATGTATCAATAACAAATTTTGATATTTAGTGCGCAAATTATGTCTTTATTCATTAATATATAATAAAATAATAATTATAGTTATTAAATATATGTATCAATAACAAATATACAAAAAACAATCCAATTTTGAGTAACATATTTGGAAATGTTTATACATATTTATTAAATGGTTAGAGATACTTCTTTAACCAAATTGACTTTATCATTTTATTAATTTGTACCGTGTTATCTTTTCTCTAATGCGTTTCTCAGTGTGCATCGTAATCAATTAAGCTTTTAGCAGTATAAAAGATCGTAGCTTAATTTTTGTTGGAAATATATGAATTTTGATTTAATTAATTGATACATAAAATAAACATTCGAAATAAATCTAGGAAAGCGGAATAGGAACGGAAAAACTTCCACGTATGTACGTTTACGGTCAAAGTAAGAATCATTTATATGCGTATATAATAAATAAAAATTATTTATGTTCAAAATATCGCTGCATGACTTCCACACACGATTCAGGTAAGAGCGTTACTGGAATAATCATTTTAATGCTCTACACGTTAAGTCGAGCATCTTTTCTATATCAATCAGTATGGTACCATTTGAAGAAACAACGACGCGAATGGTTTTAGCATCGCCGATAAAGGTAATTACAATGTCTAAATACGAATGCAGATTTTAATGTTTGTTCTTTGAAGTATCTAAAGTGCAGCGTATATAAAGTGTTAGTCTATCGCTAAAAATTAAACTATTTCATTGAATCCGATAAGTATAATTAATATGTGAATATTGTATACGTACTGCAATGTTGTTTTATTTCTTCCCTTTGGTGCACTGTTCTAATTAACGACAAAATTTTCTAAATTTTATTTTTTAAGGTTGTTTATAATTATTTATAATTGTCGAAAAAATTTAAGAAACACTTTCGCAATGCATAGTTGCATAAATAATTTTTAAAAATTAAATTATTAAACATTTAAAATGTATACCAATCATGCAAATATTCCAAATGTTAAGAGAAACATTAAATCTTCAAAAATATGTGATTAAATATCTAATTTACAAGAAAACTGTGTTCCTGTAACGTGCAGCTGTAACTCTGGCATCAAGTATAAATTTAAATAATACTGTCTAATCCAGTCTGCCAGAATCCTTGGCGTTGTACCAATTGCAATCTACTATTAACAAAAATCGTATTTAATAATTAATTATGAGAGGCTCAATTATGAGTTGTCACGTACGTAGTTCGACTTCC